GGGGCGTGGAATAAGAGATCGACCTGAGTATTTGCTAAATTTTCTGCTCGATCTCAGATTTCTGGTGAGAGGTGGTGTTTCGGAAGGAAGGGGAAGGGGGTCGGGGATAAAAAGAAGGGTTGTATGCAGGGAGGGCAAGGAGGAAACAGGGACCGGGATCGCGGGAGGGTTATCGGGTTTGGGGGACGGGGAAGGGGCGCTGGAAATGCAGCGCAGCGACAGACGAACCTTTCTTGCGACGGAGCTTCGGCCCCTGTCCCCGGTGTCCGGCAGCAGGAGGGAGGTGGCTCCGGGGAATGGAGCTCAGTGCCCGGGGACCATGTCACCTTCAGCCAGAATCCTGGCAGCTGCTCGCTGAAGATGGCCCGAATGGCTCCAGCTCTGCTCAGTAAGCAGCTCCTGGCCTCAGCTCCCAGCACAGGGGCGGGTCTGAAACAAGACCCTCCCTATTACACTGGCCACACTTCTCTCACCGACCAACTCTCACAACAACAACCTGCATTTCCATAGTGCTCCCGTGCATACACGTGGCAGAGAAACTGGAAAGACCTCACAAGTGGGGAGGGGGAGGTTTGGAAAGGGAACCATCAATGGGGAGCCATTTAAAATCATGAATACGCAAAACACTATGAATCGCAAGCGATCAGCGAGAGATTGGAGGATGTTTCAGAGATAGGGGAGTATGTAGCGGCCGGAGGAGGCTACTGAGAGAGGGGAGGGTCGTAGGGATGGAGTACGTGCTGGAGGAGGTGATAGAGATAGTGAAGGGTCTAGGAACTGGAGGAGGTAACAGAACTAGGCATAAGCGTAAGGGCTGGAGGAGATTCGGGAGGTACGGAGGGATGTATGGTCTGGAGAGGTTATAGACACAAAGTAGATTGTAGAGACGCGAGGAGGTTATAGAGGTAGGGATGTGTGGAGGCTAGTTGAGTTTAAACAGGAGGAAAGGGTGTAGGAACGGGAGGTGATTACAGAGACAGGGGCTAGATGAGGTTACAGGTGTACCAGGTATGGTTTAGGACCTGGAGGAGGTTACAGAGATTGAGGGAGGGGATGGTAGGGGTGGTGTGTGCAGGTGGGGTGGTGTAGGGCCTGGATGAAGCCACAGAGATAGGGAGGGAGGGAGGGGTTTAGGGACTGGAGGAGGTGACCGATAGGGAGGTGTGTGGGTACTGATAGAGATAGGGAGAAGTCTAGGGGCTGAAGTAGGTTACAGGGGTATGGAGGGGTGTAGGGACTGGAGGAGGTGACAGAGATAGAAATTGGTGTAGGGCCTGGTGGAGATTACAGTAATAGGGAGGGGTGTAGGTGCTGCAGGAGGTTAGAGAGGTAGGGAGGAGAGTAGAAACTGGAGGAGCTTAAATAGATAGGGACAGGGTGTAAAGGTTGGAGGATGTTACAGACATAGGGAGAGGTGTATGGACTGGAGGGGGTTACAGAGATAGGAAAGTGTGCAGGGACTGGAGGAGGTTACAGCAATGGAAAGAGGTGTAGGGGCTGGAGGTGGTAACAGAGATAGGGAGAGGTGTAGTAGCTGAAGGAGTTTACAGAGAAGTGGGTGGTGCAGGGGCTGGAGAATGTTAAGAGAACGGGAGGGATGTAGGGACTGAAGGAGGTTATAGAGATAGGGACTGTTTTAGGGACTGGAGGGGGTTACAGAGACATGGAGGGAGTGTAGGGGCTGAAGGAGGTTACAGAGATTGGGAGGGGTGTAGGGGCTGAAGGAGGTTACAGAGCTAAGGGTAGTTCAGTCTCTGGAGGGTATTAAAACGCAGACCTGAATGTTGATCTGGCTCTTGCGTTGAATTATCCATGTGAGTCTCCCTTTCCCTCAGGTAACACAGGATTTGAGGGGGCGGAAAACAAATGGAGCTCCATTTCCTGAATGAACATAGAACATTACAGTGCAGTACAGGCCCTTCGGCCCTCGCCGACCTGTGAAACCAATCTGAAGCCCATCTAACTTACACTATTCCATTATCATCCATATGTTTATCCAATGACCATTTAAATGCCCTTAAAGTTGGCGAGTCTACTACTGTTGCAGGCAGGGCATTCCACGCCCTTACTACTCTCTGAGTAAAGAACCTACCTCTGACATCTGTCCTATATTTATCACCCCTCAATTTAAAACTATGTCCCCTCATGCTAGCCATCACCATCCGAGGAAAAAGGCTCTCACTGTCCACCCTATCTAATCCTGTGATCATCTTGTATGTCTCTATTAAGTCGCCTCTTAACCTTCTTCTCTCTAACGAAAACAGCCTCAAGTCCCTCAGCCTTTCCTCATAAGACCTTCCCTCCATACCAGGCAACATCCTGGTAAATCCCCTCTGCACCCTTTCCAATGTTTCCACATCCTTCCTATAATGCAGTGACCAGAACTGTACGCAATACTCCAAGTGCGGCCGCACTAGAGTTTTGTACAGCTGCAACATGACCTCATGGCTCCAAAACTCAATCCCTCTACCAATAAAACCTAACACACCATACACCTTCTCAACAACCCTATCAACCTGGGTTGCAACTTTCAGGGATCTATGCACATGGACACCGAGATCTTTCTGCTCATCCACACTACCAAGAATCTTACCATTAGCCCAGTACTCTGCATTCCTGTTACTCCTTCCAAAGTGAATCACCTCACACTTTTCCGCATTTAACTCCATTTGCGACCTCTCAGCACAGCTCTGCAGCTTATCTATGTCCCTCTGTAACCTGCAACATCCTTCCGCACTATCCACAACTCCACCGACTTTAGTGTCATCCGCAAATTTACTAATCCATCCTTCTATGCCCTCATCCAGGTCATTTATAAAAATGACAAACAGCAGTGGCCCCAAAACAGATCCTTCCGGTACACCACTAGTAACTGAACTGCAAGGATCTGAGTGTGTGACTGTTTCGGTGATTGTCCGAATAACCAGCTGGACTCACAGTCAGGGATCCCATCAGCATCTCTCACTCAACTGCATATTCATTCAGTGTCAGAACAGTGAACAGCTGTTCACACTAACACAAGGACACAATTCTCTTCACATAGAAAGACGAGTGCAGCTCCTGCAGCACTCTAGAAACTCAATACCATCCAGGATGAAATAGCCCCCATTTGATTGGCACCAGATTCACAAACACCCGTCTCTCTCCCTCACTGATGCTCTGTAACAGAGGTGTGTCTCAAGGGCTTGTAGGACATTGTAACTTTAACATAGAATATAGAACAATACAGCATAGGTACATGCCCTTCAGTTCCACCATTGTCTGAGCCAATAATAATGCTATTAAACATTGCTATTGTATCTGCTTCTGGTACCTCTCCTGGCAGCACATTTCACGCACCTACCACCCTCTGTGTAAAAAACTTGCACATATCCTTTAAACTTTCCCCTTAAACCTATGCCTCCTAGCATTTGACAACTCCACCCTGGGAAAAAGACTCTGACTATCCATACTATCCATGCTCTTATTATTTTACAATATATATTTCAACGGGTCACCATGCAGCCTCCACCGTTCAAACAAAAACAAATCAAGTTTGTTCAACTTCTCCTTAGAGCCAATACACTCCAATCCAGGCAACATCCTCCCCTCCAGGGAGGTGGTCACACCAGAGCATCAGTTAGGTAGATTGGTGACCACCAGGAGATGCAGTGCGGAGTTTCCAGTGGCTACTCCCCTCTCTCACAGGTGTACTGTATTGGATAGCCTCTCAGGAGAGTGTAAAAGCAGCAGCCAGGTCTGAGGCACCACAACTGGCTCTACTGTAGAGCAGGGTTGGGCAAAATCCAAGCGAGAGATAGTGGTTGGAGACTCACTATTTAGGGGCACAGACAGGCATTTCTGTGACTGGGTCCGAGACTCCAGGTTGCTGTGTTGCCTCACTGGTGCCAGGGTCAAGGACGTCTCTGAGCAGTCGCACAAAATTCTTAAGGGGGAGGGTGAGCAGCCAGAGGTCATGGTGCACATTGGTGTGAACAGCATAGGTGGAAAGAAGGATGAGATCCTGCGGAGTGAGTACAGGGAGTTAGGAAAGATGCTGAAAAGCAGGACCTGAGGGTAGTAATCTCTGGCCATGTGCTGGTGAGGCAAGGAATAGAAAGATAGGAGAGATGAATGTGTGGTGAAGGAGCTGGTGCACGGGGCAGGGATTCAGGTTCTTAGATCATTGGGATCTCTTCTGGGGCAGGGGTGACCTGTACAAGAGGGACGGGTTGTACCTAGACTAGAGAGGAACCAATACCCTCGCAGGGAGGTTTTGCTAGTGCTACCTGTGAGGGTTTAAACTAGAGTGACAGGGTGCTGGGAACCAGAGCAGCAGGTCAGAAGCGGAGGTATTGAGGGGAAGGTAGCTATTAGGACCAGAAAGAAAATCAGAAAGAAAAAACACGTCAATAAATACGATGGTACTGATGGGCTGTATTGTGTTTATTTTAACTCAAGGAGTATTAAAGGTAAGACAGATGAGCTTAGAGCCTGGTTCAGTACATGGGACTATGATGTTGTGGCCATTACAGAGACTTGGTTGAGAGAGGGACAGGACTAGCTGCTCAACTTTCCAGATTTTCGAGAGATGGAGGAGTTGAATTACTAAACAGGGACAATGTTACATCTGCACTCAAGAGAGGACATACTGCAGCGCTCATCCACTGAGGCAATATGGGTAGAGCTCAAAAATAAAATGGGTGCAATCATTCTGATTAGATTATACTATATGCCTCCCAACAGTCACCAAGAGATTGAGGAACAAATATGTAGGCAGATTATGGAAAAGTGCAATAAGAACAGAGTTGTCATCATGGGGGGTGACTTTAACTTCGCCAATATTGACTGGGACACCCTTACAGCAAGAGGCTTAGATGGGGCAGAATTTGTTAAGTGTATCCAGGAGGGTTTCTTGAAACCGTATGTGGATAGCCCAACTAGAGCAGAAGCCATACTGGACCTTGTATTGGCTAATGACCTTGGCCAGGTGACTGACCTCTCAATGGGAGAGTACTTTGGTAACAGTGATCACAACTGCTTAAGTTTTAAGATAGCTATGAACAAGGATAAGTCAGGACCTGGCGGGAAGGTACTAAATTGGGGGAGGGCAAATTACATCAGTATTAGGCAGGAGCTAGGGAGTATTATTGGGAGGAGCTGTTATCAGGCAAGTCCACATTTGACATGTGGGAACTGTTTAAAGACTTGTTGGGGAGTGTTCAAGACCGGCATGTTCCAGTAAGGAGGAAGGATAAGGATGGCAAGGCAAGGGACCCTTGGATAACAAGGGAAATTGTGAATTTAGTCAAAAGGGAAAAAGAAGCATATGTAAGGTTTAGGAAGCTAAAATTGGACAGGGCCTGTGAGGAATATAAGGAAAGCAGGAAAGAACTCAAGCAGGGAATTAGGAGCAAGACGGGGCCATGAAATGACCTTGGCAAGTAGGG